ACCAGCTGCTCTTGGCTCTGGCTGTGATTCCTTAGATCCTGTATCTCCCTGTGCAGAGTGGATACCTCCCTGCAGTCCGCCACCCGCTCCATCAGCTGTTTCTCCATCACAGTGACCCTCCTCCCGGCCTCCTCCAGCTGAGCCTGTAACAGGGAGCGCTCAGTGGCACAGCGCTTCAGCTCACGCATCTCCTCCTGCAGAATACTGATGCACAAAGGGTTAAGTTTATACTAGCATGTCAAAGGTTAAGGCACACCATTTCATTCTCATCAACTCAAAATAACTTAATACTTGTAAATTTAAAGGTGCATTGAACAAGTGTTCTGGTAGAGGGTTTGTCGCCTGCTTGTCTCCATGGAGATTATTGGTTTGCTTGGAATGTTTCATGGTATGACATTCAACATGCATATCTACCTTTTATTCATTACGGGTCTTTGATTGCTCAAAAATAAAACATGTGAACAGGGTTGCCTCTCAATAGATTTTATATGTAATGTAGCCTAGGTTTAGTTGTAAACAGTGGAACAATGAAGACAAGCAGGTAGTGCACCCTCCACTAGAAAAGTTACGCAGTAAAAAGTCACTCTTTGATTTGAACACCACTTTGCACTCTTGGCATTTCTTGACCCTGACGTATCAAACCTGTGAAAAGAAAACCATTTCAGGAGAATTCATCAAGAAGCTCATTGAGAGAAGAAGGCCAAGACTTTGCAGCTCTGTCAACAAACTAAAGAGGGGATACTTTGAGCATTTGAATGAAGTATTTAGTTGAGTTATTTCACTTTTCTTTCTTTGCTAAATAACGTCATATATGTTGCATCATATATTTCATTATTTTGTATATAAAACATGGAAAGTAGTAAACATAAAGGGAAAAAAAACATTGAATGAGAAGGTGGGTCCAAAGTTGACTAGTAGTTAGTAGTGTAGACCCTCACCTGATGGTCTGATGCTGCTGTTGAGCCTCTTTCTCTAAAACAGAGCACTTCATGTTCAGCTGCTCTTTCTCCATGTTACAGATGCTCAGGTTTTCTTTAAGTTTGTTTTCACTGTCCATTGTCTGGAAAGGAAAATGTGAAAAGCCTTTGTTATTCTCTCTCTATAATAATTGACTGTAAACTTAATGCAACAGAACACTAGAGAACAGTTAAAAAGATTTGAACACACCTTTTTGAATTTAATGGAGGTTGTGGCTTTGTATTGACTGAACGCTTCTTTGAGCTTCTCTGCATTTTCAAGAGCTTGATTCCTCTGCTGCTCCGCTCTGTAAAGACAAGGCAAGATTACTAAACATCTTTAACTGACGAACAGTAAAAGGTTTATAGAATGTCTTTTGACTAAAATAAATAACTGAATAATCAGCCATCATTATATAGCACTGTGCTGGTTCATGAAAACTTTTCTTCTTTTTTTTTCGCATTATTTTCAGCACAAAAATAAACCACCATTTAGTTTATTTAAAGGTGCATTGTGTATCTTTTCCGGTGAAGGGGCTGTGAAATACTTTTTTCCATGGAGATGTTTGCTTTGTCTGGAATGTTTGGTATGAAACTGAAATTTAAATAAATTTACTTTGGGATCAATAAAGTATTTAGCTATCCATCTAAACCTTTCTTTATTCATGGAGACCAAACCAGACAGTTATAGGTCAAGTTACAGGTCAGAATGCCTATTTTTGAGCTATAACACCACCTCCAATGAATAAATAATGTAGAGCTGTTTAATATCATGTTGTGCAACATTACAGGCAGATTATGGACCGCCAACAAAAAAATTTCACAGTGCACCTTTAAACTGGGACTAAACACCTTAACTACGAAATAAAGGAAAAAAAAGTTGATTCAGTGTTTAGTTTCACTTTAATTATAGCACTCAATAGTGAAAACAGTAAATGACCTTTTGCAAAGTGCAGTTTTGTTCTCCATCTCCTCTCTCAGAGTGTTGACCTCTTCAGTTAAAGAAAGAACCACCATCTCATTGTGAGCTGCTTCCTCCTGGCTACAGTCTGCCCTCATTTCCACCTCCCTGTAACGCACAAGCAATCAGCTCACAGAGTGTATAGTGAAAACATGCATAGTTCAAATACAGTTTAGATTAACGTGTTACTAATCAGAATCATAATCTGGGTATTGATTTTTTTTTTAAGTCTACAAACATGCGAGATAGACTGTCCATGTGCTATGTACAGTCAAAAGATGATACCCGTTTTGGTTGCATAATAGATTTTAGTTTTTCAAGACAAAAGAATAGCAAACTAATGTAAATGTATGTGTTTTGCATACTTAAATGTGTTTTATTTTAAATGTAGGGCTGAAACAAGTGAATTGATTAATCGCAACTAACTGATTTTTGGGATAATTAACAACTAATTTAGAGATCCAATAATAATTTTAGGACTATATACACAGACTCTAAAACCTGCCATGTACCAACTTTTATTACTCAGGCAAAGTAGGAATTACTTTAAAATGACACAGGAAACTTTTAGATGTAATATCTTTTTTTTATTAAATTACTATTTTGTCTTCAAATATACAAGTCTGGATCACTTTAGCTTCATCTGGGTCAAACTGAGTAAAAAATAATAAAAGAGTAATTGCTAGTTTAATTAGCAAAATAATAGTTATTTGCAGCCCTACTTGAGAGACATTTGTTTCTTGTGATGAAAAAACTAATTACTACAAAATCTTTTTTTCACAACTTGTCATGATTAACCTCAAAAGCTAAGTGTTATGAGAAAACAACATCACTTCCAGCTGCCGTAATGCAAAACCATCTAACAATTGTGTCCTGCATTGTCTATGTTATGGCCATGTAAATACAAGAAAGACATTATGCTAAATTAATCCACTTGACAGTTTGCACAACATGTACACGGCACTTATATAATTTCTTAGTAGTATATTTGTGTAGAAGGTCAAAGGTTACCTGAGATGCTGGGCTTGAGCCACCAGTTCTGCCTCGAGGTGACGGATGTGCTCACTCATGACTGTCACACTGTTACGGGGACCAGTGACACGGCTCTACAGTCACACACATATATATAGGATCAGATTTTGCGTTTGATCCTTATTGGAGAATTACAGTCATCATCTTAAAACCATGAATTCACATAAAGGTAAACAAGAAGCATCATAACTAGGGGTGGGAAATATTGGCAATATTTTGTAAACAGATATATTCTGGAGTAACCTGATAGTAACACAGTACTAGTATTAGTCGTAATCTAAATGTGCACCATGTAATTCTTCTGGTGGAGGGTGGAATATTCCAGAAAGGGTAATAACGTCCATGTCTTGCATCTTTGCACTGGCTTCCTGTTAATTTTTGAAATAATTTTAAGAAGCTATTTTTTGTTTTTAAAGCTTTGAATGGACAGGCCCCACGGTATAACTCAGACCTTATTCAAATTTAGACCTGAACGCACACACGTGCTCTGACATCCGAGGGCCAGCTCCAGCTCGACTTAAAACCAGGGGGGACAGGGCTTTCTCAGTGGCCCGTCATAAGCTCAGAAATGGTCTGCCGCCCCTCACGTCCAAACACAGATAGTAGTGTCACCTGGCTTTGGGAGGAGGTAGTGTCAAAGTCCGACATAAAAGGACCATCGTGCACAGACAGACAGGCGTTCTCCTGACGCACAGTGCTCCCTCTTTTCTTGGATGAAACACAGGCCATCTTCAGTCAGTCACTCTGGAATAGGCAACAAGAAAGGAATGTTAGGTTATTTCTTTCCCAGCAGGCTGTTTGAAACTTGCTCATGTATCATAAAGCACTTCCACATGAATAAAAACTACAATTCTAATACAACTTTTCTGGTGGTGGGCCTGACACCTTCTCTTTTTGGATTGCCAATGCAATAATGTTTCATAATATCAATCTAAAAAAAAACAAAAAAAAAAACACCTATAACTGATGATAATGCTGTACTGTGGAACATTCAACCCCCACCAGGGAAGTTACCTTACATAGTGCATGTTATTTTTTTTTTTTAAGTATACTTCAAGTATTATGGGTTTTAATTTCATGTATGTATTTATCTCTTAGATTTGTCCAACTCACATTTATAACTTAAATAATGGAACAGATCAACATAAACACAGATGATATCAGAGTTGGCAAATTGATAGTGGTCACCGCAGTTTTACATTTGTCACACAGTTCAGCTGCTAACCAACATTTATTTAAAAAGTCAGCAATTGGTGGCATTTCTAGGCTCTAAAAGCATATGCATACACACAATAATTTACACAAAGTTAAGTTATTGCAAATAATTGTTCTCACATCAACTGCAAGCAACTCACCTTATGTTTCTTTTCCATGATATGTAGACACGTTAACTGCATATCCCCGTTTCTAAGTTGTAAAATTAACTCTCGAAGACATGGTATAATCTCGTGTTGCAGAATTTCTTCTAAATTTGGAGGAAAAGCACATGTCAGTAGGCTACATTAGCTAAAGCTGCATGTAAACAATAGTCGATCAGTCAACAGGTGACTGGTTATTAACGTTATTAGTGTTGACTACGTACAGATAAAACACGGAAATTAACTGGTAGACGCATAACTTAGCACATATCACACTATCGTACTGGTTTCTAAACTATATAAGGGCTAAAATAGCCTTTAGTCTGCAAAACGTCACTTGAAATTCTCTTCCAGGCTGCTAAAAGTAGCCAAAACAGTTTGTAATTTACACCCCGCCCACAATTTAACAACGCGTCTCCTGATCGGTTTAAATTGTAAAACGTGCAACGGGATTGGTTAAAATGGTTGTCATAGAAATCACCGGGATTGAAGGCGCGGATGTTCACTCGTCGTTTACCACTGTTTATCCCTCTTAGGCTCAAATAAAATGTTAGTAACAGGAAAAAATCTGATATTTGGGGAAAATTATCACATGGGGTACTAATATACAATCCTGACTTTTTTTTGAGAGAGACCTTCACATCCAATGTGTTCTGGGATGTTTCAGATTTGCCGCATTGGTCCGGTGTGGGAAATTAACACTGAAGAAAATGATATGAACACTAACTTTATGTGTAGACCACTTTTCATAACAATGAAAACATAAAGCACAGTGTAAAAGCTTTACAGTGGCAGAACAACATCACTTTTTCGTGTGGTTCTCCAAGAAACAATTTTTATCATTTGTAAACAGAAGTACTTTGCACTTCTGGCAGACCGTCTGTGTGTAACCATTGCAGTCTGCATCGTCCACCTTTATCAGCATGGATGGGAGAAAAGGCTCCTGAGTAAAAAAAAGCTCATAAAATATGGATTTGGAGTAAGTAGGTAATAGGCATTTAGCTGTTGCAAATCAGCAGACGGTTAAAGCCTTTTTCTAAATAAATTACACACTTCTTAGTCAATTGAAAATATTTATTCTGTAGAAAACCGGTTCAAAAATAACATGTCATCTCTACAGCGATGTACGATTGTAAATAAAAGTATGTAATGTAACAAAAGTTTGCATGGATGATTCTTTGGCTTGGTTAGCCTGTTGAGTCAGTCACAGTACACAGAAAACATGACACTGGCTGAACATATGGACAACATCAAAATGAAGAGACATTATCAACACTTTTACACTTTGCTCGATAATCTCAACAGAGATTAAAATAATATTTGAAAGTAAATAAACAAAAATGGCTGAAAAAAAATGAAATGACAGAATACTTTTTATCAAGTGTTAACACTTTGACAATCCGCTGACTTAAATAGTTTGACATCATTATAACTATAAATGAATGTCTGAAATTGGTTTATAGAGCATTATTTAAAACAAATACTGGGAAGGATGACACTGAGCTCTAGTTGTACGTTTTTTAGCTAAATTTGTAAATAAAACCAAAACATGAATCAAATTATGTGAGAATTTACATTGTTCAATCCCTATGATTATAGCATAAAAAATACATAACAAAGTCACTGCTTAGAATTTGACTTGTGTTGGCTTTTGAAGCGAGAACTTTTAACTGGGATACAAAATGCTGCCTTGTTTCAAAGCTAAATATTAAGTGCAAGCACTCACTAAATAAAAGAATAGGCTATAATAATAATAGATGTAGCATAACTCTATATAAAATAATAAACATTTGCAGCAGCACATCTTTTTTTTTGCTTCACAACAGAAATTAATGGCAAAGACAACACCTAGCATCACAAACAGGAGGACAGATGCTGGAATGTTAGCACGTCCATAGATTCAGTTAAGCTGTCCGAAAAAGGCAAGTGGTGGACAAAGCAATGATTTCTTCTAAAAGTCCAAGGCAATAGCGCGGTGCATTCAATTTCAAATAGATTTCTTAAAGGTCCTAATTACGCAAATTGTACTCTTTTAAGCTTTAAGTCTTGTTAAAATGTTATCTCATCAAAAACATACCTGGAGATGTTTTGTTTCATTCTTACATGTTTGTCTTTTATAAATCGGTCTACATTTCCAAATCTCAAAATGCTCTGTTTCACCTTGTGATGTTGTGATGTTAACCACTATCTTTTACATTTTGTTCAGTAGTAATAGGTAATACCAGGACTGAAATGATCCAATTTATTCTAGTGAAGGTGTATGTAGTTTAAAAACACTGGGATATATTCCTGAATTTTGTTTGAGAGAAGAACTCATCTGCCTAAATATGCAGGGTTTGTATGAGAATGAAACAAAACTTCAGGTCTGTTTTTGATGAGGAAACAACATTAGCACATAGATCAAAAAACAGCGTAATATGGGTCCTTTCATAACACAGACTTGATGGGTGGCTTGGTGGTGGAAAATTCTTATGAAGCAGTGACTCCTTCCCACTCCACCAGATACTGCACCCTCCCATCCAGTGTGACTCTCCGGGCCAACACTTTGTACCTCTCCCCGCAGGCCAAGCGTCCAGCTGGGCCAAAGTAGCTGCTGATGGAGCTGCGGAGGTGGGACATCTGACTGTTGGGGTCCATGCCGTGGATTATGTCCGTGGAGTGGAGACCATGCAGGGGACTGAGCAGCTCTGTGGCGCTGGGGAGAGGGTCTGGTTCACTGGGGGGCGGGATATTGGGGATAGGGGGCGGGGCTGATCTCCTGGGACGCCCACGCTTCCTTTTTAACGGTGGAGAGCTAAGAGGCGTAATGCTGACGGGCGCTGGGCGAGTCTTGTTGGAACTACAAAGGCTGTGAATGAAGAAGGGAAAGGAGTTCTTAAGCACACTTCACACTTAAAGTGGACTTATTACACAAAGTTGACTTTTTAGAGCTTTTAAACATGTTATAGTTGTCCTCTCAAAGTTGTATTTTGAGTGATTCATGTTAAGTTTGAGTAATCTTTATACTCCTCAATTCAAGACTTAATTTCTCCAATGAACCTGTTGAAAAAAATATGGTACTCGCCAGAGTAATGTGCAGCTATCCATAGGAGGTTCTGACATATGTAGCTCTGTTGTGATGATGTTTACAGCAACATCAGCTCACATATTGCAATTTAAAATGCTCGACAGGTGTCAAAGATTATAACTATATAGAAGACAAAAGCCCAAGAGCACCTCTGGAGACTGGCTCTTGTCCCTGTCCTGCTCCACGGACAGACTTTGTGTTTGTTCCACACGCCAGTCTGTACTACGCATATAGCTGAAAAATGCAAGAGGATGGACTGCTATGTTGCCATGTTTGTTTCATTGTTGCTGCTACCGAAGCAACAATGAATGATCCTTAAGGATCAATAAAGTATCTATATCTATCAATCATTAGTCTTTTTTCTTTGTGGTCCAATAAGTCCTAATGTGTACATAGTATAATGTTTATTTTAGATGACCAACATCATTGAAAGGCTCAAATCTTGTACTGAAGCAATACTCCTTCTGTAAAATACATGGTGCATTTGTGTCCAAAGGTTGGAGGAAGTGGTTGCAGTGTAATTACTACTTGAGGTTACAACAGACAGACAGTGTATAAGCAGTTATTCCTATATAATACCTACCTAGATGGTCTTGAAATGCTAGTTGAGGTAGTTTCTGAGGTGCTCAAGGCTCCTATAGATTCCACATCTGACGTTCGACACAGAGGTCGGTCACTCCTGGTTAACACAGAAAACCGCATTATTTTACTTAGTTTTGATGGAAATGTGAATAAAAATCTGTCACTTACTTGATAGCAGGGAATCGATCCCTTGAATGAGACTCTAAAGGCTTTCTCATTTCCTGTGGATTAAGATTAAAAGTATTAGCTCAGAGTTGTAAAATTGCAAGTCTCCATAATAGAGTTAAGTCTAACACTAACACAACTGGAACAAGAGTAAACTTGAAAGAGTTCAGAGAAGGACAGCACGTTTTGTAACTTCTGACTATGACCCAAAAAGCACTCTTGGATCGAAAAACACTTGAGGAATGTCGAAAAACATCAACGACGTGTCCTGATGTATAAAATTACCAACTTGGAGCAGTACCACCCACCCACCTCTCTCCAGCCGACCACCAAAATGAATCTAATCATCCAAGTATTCGCCCTTAAATGGACCTTAAACCCAAAATGCATAAACAGTCCCAGAATGGACTCAAGTACCAACTTATGACTTTGGACACCTTTAAAAGTCAGCTGGCAAACCCTAAAAGGTGCATTCTGTAACTTTTCTAGTGGCGGGTCCATGAGATGCATTTCTTCATGGAGATGTCATTTCTTTGTGTAACTGTGGGTCTGGAATGTTACACAGTATGGCATTAAACCTTTATATCTTCATGAAGACCAAACCAGAACAAGTTACAGGTCAGATCTGTTGAGAGGCAACAACACTCACAGAATGCCTGTTTTTCTATTATTGAGCTTTAAAACCACCATGCTGTAATTAAATACCTGTAAGGTAAATCTGTTTAATGTCATACTGTGGAACATTCCAGGCAGAGCATTGACACATCCATAAAAACAAGCAGGTGATGGACCTCAAACAAATAGTTACATACTGCACTCTGAATGGTGATCACGGAAATGAAGGGACAGAGTTTGCCGACTAATGAACCAGAACCAGAAGTGGATGTTGTTGTAGTAACACTTTAAGACAAACTCACCTGGGACATGTGCGTGCTGGAGCGCTGAGGCCGGGGCTCCACACAGCGACTCTCCTGCTTCCTCTTTTTCTTCTTTTTCTTTTCTTCTTCTCTGTGCCGTTGGTTAAAGAGTGAACATCTCTGCAACAAAAAACAAGTTAAATTTAGCAGGGGGTAAGGAGAAAATGTATTTACATCATGGGTCTATAGACACGGGACCATAGACTGTGAAATAATGTCAATCATTATCGCTCTCAACCTCTTCAAGCCATTCTCATGAAGGTATTCAGAAACTCAACAGTAATTAACTCTGCAGTAATTAAGTTGCATGTGATGGTCAAAAAAGGGTGTAAACTGTTAATGAAGATTTTTTTTCCCCTTCTATACTGTTTAACAGGGTCCAATGTTTACATGCATATCATATAATTTTGATTTATTTATTTAAAAAGGGCCAGTGTATACAATACAACATAAAAATGCCAGAATTTGCCTAATGGCTACTTCCCATCTGTAGCCTCTGGCAGGTCAGGACAAGAGAACGAACTTTTACAAAGTGTTTTACCTGTTTTTTAAAAGACAAAGTTGAGTCCAAAGTCACACCAAGATACTTAAATTTATCCACAATTTGAATCCCTTTTTAAAAATACTTTAGAGCTTTGCTGTTCATGTTTCGAAAATACCATAAACAGTGTCTTGTAAACAGTTACTGCTGAAGTGAGTAGGCTGATTTCTTTGTGATGGTTCACGGCTGTGCACTTTTTGAAAGGTTTATGCAAATTAATGTGGCAAAGTTCATTCTATTTTGTCTTCCAAATACAAGTCACACATGTCACCAAGTGTTTTTGTGCATATGAACACAACAAAAATCTAATGTAATTATAGGGTTAAATGATTATTGTAGCTATCAGGCCATGTGAATATTCCCACTGTGACCCCCAACTGACCTGGAGTTGTTGAGGGTCTTGGCGGACTTGCAGCCCTTGATGGTGATCTCGTGTGAGGCCCTCTCCATGCGGCCTGTGGGCTCGTCAGCATTGGGAGGAGCTGGGGGAAAGCGGATCCTCAAACCATACCAGTGCTTCTTCTTCTTCACCTCTTTACCGGACATGAACCTGCCCCAGATGGCACATGATCAAGAGGTTAATGAGAACAGAAGAACAAGATGGCTCTCGGAGATATGAAACTCGATACTCGGGGGCTAAACTTACATGCTTGGATTGTTGGTGAGTGCCTCCAAAACATATTCAAATCGCTCAGATCTGGGAGTATCAGCCAGCTGCAGACAGACACAAACGCATGTGATTATAAAAGGCCGTCTATAAAAAAAGCGCTGTAGGCCTTTTGTTATTCAGTTGAATAATTTGGTCAGTGGTGTCTAATTTTATTTATATTCTAAGGATGTAACTAGGCCAACAGCAGAAAGAGGAGAAGTCAGTGAGTGAGTTAGCTGAAGATTTGGGGTTTTTTTTTGGCATTTATATGTAAAAACGCAGATTACACTCCTGATTCACAAGTTTAATTTGTCTTTATATAAATACATTGCTTTTTAGTACTTTTTCTGAATAAAGTTGTTTATGCATGATCTCCCCCTGCAGGTGTGAGTGCAGTTTGAGTCACATATTGAGATTGAGATCTTTAATCTTGTTGCCCTTTTTTAATCAGTCAATCAATCGGCAGGACAGGTCTTTAGTCAACTAGAGCCCTACAGAAAACGTATGGCTACACTGCTTTGAAAGACATGCGTTATGAATTTTTAAGTCTTTTTACCTTTGGATTTGTAGTCGACTAAAAACATGTCCTTCCAGTCGAAGTTGAAGAAAAGTATCTGACCCAAACTGCGCTTACAATGGCAAATTAAATGGCACTTACGTTGAGAAAATGCTGAGAATGATCAAGGATTTAAAAATGTATTTCAATTTTTCCAGTATCAGTATCAGACAATTCTTCATAAATTTTTCGCTGTTCCATTCTTTGTGTGCCCACTTTGAATGAGTAATGAACCAAAATGTAAATCGAACAACATAGATGACTGTATGTTCACACAATCATGCAACTAACAATTTTATATCAGTTGTGATCTTTGCTTCAACCACAGACTGTCTAAAGAACTTGACTAAGGGAGTGTGATGGCACCCGGTTACAGAGAAGTATGAAAATATTCCAGCGCAAGTCAACTGGAACCAGGGGTCAGAAGGATCCAGAAGTGACCCCATGTTCACTTTCTATTTGGAAAGCGAAGGCTAGCACATGAGCTATGTCCATGTACTATGACTTCAACTTAAAATCTAGCAAGGACCACAAATCTATCTTAAAAGCAAAATATTGGTATACGCAAATATCGATTACTGGCCACAGCAGCAGGCCAAACTCCACTAAAAAACACGATTAGAGTAAGTTTTCATACACAACAGAGTAAATTACCAACATCACATTCACAGCATGGCCAGTAATGATTATTAGTCTCACTTCCCCATTGTGCTCACACATAAACTAGCAATACCATCACTGCTTCTATAGATAGAACCTACAAACTCACATGCATATTATCACATTTGCAGTAATCCATAAAAAAAAAAAAAGAAAAAAAAAAGCACACACACCTTGTAATTACTTTCTCAAGAGCTGCACACACGTGGGCTTACCTCTCCTAACTGCAGCAGATCCCAGTTGTCGTTAATGTACACCATCAAGTCCAACTCTGAGTCAAAATACTTCTTTTTGTGTATGACACTAAGGTTGTACAGGCTGAGGTGAGTCACATCCTCCCTGAAACACAACGGATAAAAACCAGAAAAGAAACTCAATCATAACGCTACAAAAAGACAACACCTTTACAGCACATTTCATTATTACACATCTAGCAAGTCTGTGAACTCTTCAATCGTCAATCGCAATGACTGGACAAATGTTTTTAGCATGATTAAGTTTGGCGACTCATCCAAATAACTTCTTTCAGATCTGATAGGGTTCTGAGTCACTGAGCCACATTCACAGGACAGAAATGAACCTTTTCTGAATAGTTTTAGAATGATCTTGAGCTGTATCAGAGCACATAGTCTAGTATATGCCCATGGACCACTATGGAACCTAGTACTATTATTTAAATGTTGAAAATCACATTCTATTGTCTAAAGAAAGTTTTTTTTATCATCATCGTGGTATCGGAGAGTTTGAAATTTTGCATCATGACAACACTAAGAGCGTTTGATTACCATGTCAGAGGCAGTCGGGTGAGGTATTCAGGTCCACGGTTACAAACAGAGCACACAAACAGATAAAACCTGCAATGTAGGAAAGTAGCATTAATACCACGTATACTGCAGTAATAATTGTAACTGACTGTTTTGTTATTCGATGATGTAAAGCTCTCACCGGTCTCCGTAGAGCATGGGCATTTGTAAACTGTGGAGACAGTCCTCGTGGAACCACTGCAGACACCTGCTGCACTGCATCATCTTCAGGTACCAGCTACAGGAACAGAACAGACTTATGAACATGTTAACAAACACATTTATCAATACTAACAATTTGAGCAGTACAATAATAAAGAGGAGTGGGAACAAGGCTGGAAAGAAAGAAAACTAAACAAGAAAATACATAAAATGGATTTAGACAGCACATTTTCATTAGCTTGTGATCAAAACGAGCATTCATGGTCCTGTTTAGGAGGAAAAAAAGAGGAGTGTGACTAACTGAAAAACTATTGGCTAATGCTCCATCCATCCACATTCCCTGGGGGTTGGTGCTGACTGTTGGCATTGCTTTCTCTAGGGCTCTGTTAGCCTTTAATATGAGCTTTAATGTAAAAGGTGCACTGTGTAACTTTTCTGGTGGTGGGTTTGTATAGAATGTCCCACAGTATGGCATTAATCTTATCCATTTCCATGGAGACAAGCCCACAATGCCTCCAAGCCAAATTACAAGTCAGATCTGTGGAGAAAGGAACAGTAACTGGAAGGTTAAGGAACCTGTAACTGTATAAATGCAACATAGAGGAGTTTAATGCCATACTATGAAACATTCCAGATGAAGCAATCTCCATGGAGAAAAGCATCTGACAAACACTCCACCAGAAAAGTTACACAATGCACCTTTAAATTAAAGCTCAGATTAAAGGCTAACAAAGTCTCAGAGAGAGCAGTGAGTACAGTTAGCATCAACCCCCACGGAATGTTGATGGCATGTTGTTGAGCAGAGCACAGACAGTTCACAGTGGTATTCTGTTGACTGACAGATTATTATTTACCAAAAGTTTCCATGTGCTTGGACAAATTGGTTGAAGTAGACTGAAGTGTTTTGTGCAGTACTCACTCTCCCTGCCCGCCGCAGTAACAGTAGCACTGCTGCATGTTGGTCTTATGGCCCGGGTTCCACACCAGCTCATTGGGATCATATGGAAAAGATAGACGCAGGCCGGAGTTATCCATCTCCACAGGATCAGGGTCATGATAGCGCGTGGCTATTCTGCGATGGGAGCCCGCCCTCTGTGAAAAGAACCACCAGATTCTTCAAACTTGTGTTCAATTAAAGAATCATACTTTGAAGAGGGGCTATTACATTTCTATGAGGTATTAATTACAAACACATAATATTTAGATCATTATGTTATCTAATGTTTTGAAAACACTCCCCCTGCCTCTGCTTTCTGTGCCAATTCACTTCGCCTTCAGAGCACAAACAGCATGCAACTCACTAATGGAACTATTACACATTGCAGGTATGTGATGTTATAGTGTATTGTTTTGCATCTTCTTTTTGTATAAAGAGCATGTGTCACATAGTGTAGTGGGCCTTGGATAGAATCTTACAGCTAACCATGAGGATGGTTTGAATAGGGCCCAGGAGTGATTGGTATATTACTTAAACATGCATGGATCACATATAAAACCTCTTCAGGCATTTTTTGATGGTAGAAAGCTCCAAATGTCGATTTTGCATAATACATTCTCTTTGAAATCATTTAAAAGTTAACCAAGCTCCAACAGGTGTCATACCGAAACAAATACAACTGTGTACCTTGGATAAGCACTCAGAGCAGAGCCATTTGGCGTCAGAGTCGATGACAGCAGCATCAATGATGGGAGTGTGGCACAGCTGATGGTAACCTTGACAACAGGACAAAACACAAATCAATTCTTCGGTTTCAGCATCCTGTTACATACACCATTTTGAGGACTTTTTCCTCATTATAAAAAGGTATAATATTTAGTTTTACACTGTTAATTAGGGCTATAGTCCTTTAGGACACTATCAACCAATTAATCAACTTAACAAATAGTCAACCAAAATTTATATTAGTTGACCACTTATTTTTTTCAGATTATAAGGGAGAAATTGCATGAGTTGAAGATATGGCATTTTGTAGTATTTATATGAAAAAAAGCAGATGAAACACATGATTCGCAAATTTAACCTTTACATAAATACATTTTTTTCTAGTATTTTTTTTTTCTGTATATATAGTTGTTTTTACATAAACTCCAGTGCAGGTGTAGACTTGTGAGTATTCTTGTGGATCAGATACATAGAGATATGTAAAAGTTTTGAGAGCTTTTGCCACACTCTTTTGACTAATCAATCAGCAGTCTTTTGTCAAACAAGAATATCTTTAGTCAACTACAGCCCTATTGTTATGGCTAAGCTGTGGATACTAGAGGAAGCTAACCCTGACCTACCTTGTCCACACTGGTCACAAATGACTATTTCATTGGGCTCTTCGGAGGTTTCATCCTGACAAATGGAGCACACAATGTCCTCGTCCTCCTCATCCTCATCATCTTCATCACCTGGAAATGGGACAACACTATGTTAAATAAATGCTGTTAGAAATGTTTGGCTGCTTATACATCTGCGTGTTAAAGTGCCATCTTCAGGTGGTCTTGTGTAATTACTACAAATTCCAGACCTGCTCTCAAATAGTGTGAAAATTGCCACAGTATGCAAAATCAGATATTAATTCATACTACTCGTATACAAACTAGATACTCATTTCAGCAGGTATTGATACTGAATGTCTTTAGAATGATCTTGAGCTGTATCAGAACACGTATAAGATCACACAGACTAGTATAGGCCCATGAACCAAATTTTATTGTCTAAAGAGTTTTTTTTTAATCATCATCGTTGTATCGGAATCGTTATTGAAATAGAGTTTGAACATTTAGTTAGAAATTTTGTTACAACACTACCAGAGCCACACAAACCACATCAGGGTAAACCTTCAGTTTTAGGGTTACCTTCTTTTGCAATATTAGGGACAACAAGCCAAGTCCAAGTTTAGAAGCATAAACAGTAACTAGAGCTGCATGATAAACAAATCAACCAACTGGCTTAAACATGATGCCAGCATTAGTGTTGCATTAGTTTCCACACAAAGCAGCACTGCTCACTGTTTTATAAGTTTACAGGGCTGAGGATATCTAAAAAGCCTGAGGATATCTAAAAAGCTTTGCTTTTCTTATGTTGAAAGGCCACTGTACTGACAATAATTTGGTTTTCAGTAATTGTCTGTCTTAAAAATGTGTGAAAAACAGAACAATTATTTTAAGTGGTTTGTAGCAGTTCAAAGTAATTCCTCATTTTCCTACCACAGACCAGAGTGTTGCCATCACTGTAAAGCTGAAGACAACTAACATGCCAACAGTGCACTTCCTAATTTTTTATTTTTTTTTTAAGTTTGATTGATTTTCAGAGAATAATGCTTTATAGTGTGGACGGCACACAGCAGTCCCATTGTGATCCAAAGAACTGATTTGATGGTAAATCTGTATATAGTGGCAAGAATATTTTTTTTTCAATTACATAGAAATAAATCCAAATAAATCTGTCCTATATATTGGCACAGCTCCTACTGAGATGGGTCAAATGTGGAGGACAAATTTCCCCAAGTGTACTTTAACTTTAAATATAATCAGACAGTAAAAACTTGTATCTCTAGAATACATGAGTGTAATGTACAGACTGGTTCTCAACTGTTAACTGTCATTAACAAGAGCAAGGAGATAAGGCCAAATCTGGGTGTGGATGGTGCAAGAGTCATTGAGCTTTGATTACCGGCATCATTACCAGTAACTGCAACGGTTTATAATAAGATAAGCCTACTAGGGTTGGCGCAACACTAAAATTTCAAACTAAATTTTTCTACTACGAAATAGACTGAATACTCAAGACAGATTGCGAAACTGATAATTTAAAAAAAAATAAAATAAAAAAAACTCTTTAGGACTGACTTAGATCTGTGTAATCCCCAAGTTGTCCAGGTAGGTCTCATAGGGGTGGTGGTGTGTATACAGCTCAAAATCATTCTAAAGCTATTCAGGAAAGGTTCATTTCTGTCCTGTGAATGTGACTTCTTTAGTATCAATACTTGTTCAAATCTAGTTTCGATACTAGTTTTAGTATCAATTAGTATCTGAGTTTCAATACTTTTGACAACCCTATACCTTACAAATGTGCATTTGTTAGTGCATCAATATTTGTAGTGGATAATAAGGGTAGACACTGAATACATACCCATACCTGTCTGGATGTCTTTCCAGAACACCCAGGACTTGGACCGATCCTCAAACACCACAAAGCACCTCTGCTTTACATGATCGATCTGAAAGTGAAAACGCATGAATAAGTGTTACTTAAAGTCTACAAACACTGGCTTTGTTTTGACTTAATCTAGGCTGTAAATGGGAGGGAGCAATATTGACAAAAATGTATAATGTTTAATAATGTTGTAATAATGTTAGGGATGCACCAATTCAGCTTTTTCAGTTCCAATACCAATTCCAGTACTACAGATATCTGCCAGTATCAACCGATACCAGTGCAGAGACTGAAAACCACATTTAATTAGTTTCACCAAAAATAAAACAAGACAAACCTGATCCAAATGTGTTATGGAGCTGCTGTTTATCTCTCAAATGACCACAGTATGGTCCAGACAGTGTCATAATGTTTGAACACAACTTCAATCAACAAATAATTAAATCAATTTATATGTCCAACCAGAATATTGGCTGAACCGATATTTGGAAGCCAATATGCGATCCTGCAAATTTTTCAGCATCTGTTTAAGTGTATAATGTTTAAAAAGAACTGAGGTTTAAAATTTGAAAGGGCCGCAGAAGTGTTGAAATATCAACTTTATATCCTTTTTCAAAACATTTTCATTTTAAATCAGTCATTTCAGAAACATTCAAAAGCAACTGCAACCAATCTAAAATTAGTAAACTGAATAAATAACTTCTATGACTCCTTAAGTGTTTCATTTATTTATTGCATCTCATTGCATTAACAATAGTGTACATATAGAATCGTTTTGTCGAGGGGAGGGGGCATAGTGCTTCAGGGTGATCATGTCAGTGGCATAATGTCGACAAGCCTACATATACTGCATACTAATAACAAATGTATTCATCTAAAAAAAATCTCTATTTGTTGAAATTTTTTCCTTCCTAATCAGGAATAAACCAACCTTTGTGACCGTTCCCAGGTAGAAGAGCCCATCAGTCCAGCGAGCAAGCACATCCTGCCCCTCAGAGAACCGGTCTCCGAACTCGTGCGGGGACAGGGACCTCTGCTGCCGGTGGGACACGGGTGAGTGCTGATGGAGAGCAAGGTGGTCCACTACACCGGAGTCTCTGCAAAAAAACAGAAGCAAACAATACAAGTATAAAAATATAATAAGAAACTTAATGCAATCACTATTTGTACATAGCCCAACTGTTCTACCTGAGAAATCTGACATTTATTATTGTGGGTAAGATGCCCTCCCATTCCTCTTGTAACCCTCTATGCCAGATGCCCTCCCATCATCTTAAGCAAGGTTTTAAATGAAAATACTCCACATTTTGAATGAAAAAGCCCACAAAATGGCACCTATAACATGAATTTGAAACTCATAAATACCCACAGACTTGTTTACAGTTACATTTCCACAGTAAGTGAACCATCCAGACCTGCTAGGGGTCCCGAAACCACCAACTGCTAAAGTGGAGCTACACAGTGCAACAAGATGATTGGACAAGAGAATGCAGGGTAAGGGGAAAAACAGACTGCAAAATGCAAATTTAAACATTAAGGTATAATTTCTCATGCGTCAGATGGCCTTCCTGTCACGCCAGATGCCCTCTCATCCTCCCCATTTCCCTGTGTGTCAGATGCCCTCCCATGACATTGCACTAACCCATGCAATACACAAAGCAGCTGTTTACATTGGTATTCATGCAGAGCGGCGCTGAGGGACATTTTCCTCTCTGCTACACAGAAACAACAGGTGATTATGCTGATAAGATGCAGAATAGAGTGATTTTACACGACCTTCAAGACCCCCTCCCCCCCACCACCAAAAAAAAAATATATACAGGCTACAGTACTCAACCTGAATTAATACTAGAAAGATAAAATATGTGCAAAAAGGCTGACAATTCAAAGATAAACTGGGGTCAGCTGAGATGTGATAAAGATAACTCACTACTACATCGGTATTTCAATGGTAATGTTATTTATTTTATCACGAGATCCACGCTGTTAGCCAAATGAACAGTGCGTGGTCACAGAAACGCGTTTTACATTTGACGTCTCATTTACGCCACGTTCAAAAATGATAATTAACCGGCTCGCGCAAATAAAATGGAAATCGATGAGGTTTTTGCGGGAAATAAAAGGTCATTGAAGTTCATCGGTTGCACAAAGGCGACGGTAGATTTTCACCAATGAATGCGATCCTTCTGCAATAAAACGTGAGTAGTTGATGCTAATGTGGTAGCTTGACGGCTAGCAAAAAGCCCCGGTTGGCGAGGTGGACCCACACCCCCATCAGACAAAACATGACAACAATACCTCATCGGGCTGATCCGCTTCTTTTCACACACACACGCGGAACTAAATTATTCTCCGGATCGTGAATGCAGCTAACCCGGCGCTTTCCCCAAACGCAGCTATCTCAGAAGGGCGCCGGAGAATCGTGAGGGGTTCATGCTTGGATCAGAAAATAACAAACGGTTCATATTGGCCCTGGGCATTCGCCATTTTGGTTTCCCGCTGGTCCTCTGCGAGTGCATTGTGGGAAGCGCTTAAACCAGTGCGCCGCCGCTGTGTGTGTGCGGTGTGCAGACAGCTTCTTTTTTCAAACATTTGAATTTGTAGGAAGGGCGTCACGAAGCAATACATGTACGCCCCTTAAAGGTCCTATTTTACGCAAAAAGGATTCGAGTGGGATTAAGACAAGTTTACATGCTGTTAGGGCCTCAAAAATATATCTGGACTTGTGGTTTGTTTCATTCATTCATGTTTGAGTAATCCTGGTTTACTAGGCTGTCTATGTGTCCATAGCTCAAAATGCTCTGTTCCACCTTGTGATGTCATGCAGTGGTAGTTTTTAAGTTTGTTCAGTATAGATGACCAGTGCCAGGGTTGAAACCATCTAAATGATTCTAGTGAAGGCGTAAAAAAACAGTAGAGCACTAACTGTTTTACCACACAGTTAAGCTTTTGATAAGGAGTAACATGGTTATGTACAACATTATAACAGATCATAAAATATCATAATATAGGCCCTTTAAAGAAAGAAGAGGGTTTAAAGCTCCTATATTACACAAAATTGACTCTTATACACTTGTGCACTAAAGAAGGGTAAAAAAAAAAAAAAATGGAAGTGGAAAACTGGAGTTGTGTTTTGCTTTATTCACATGTTTGTGTAATACTGGTTTATTAGTCTGTCTGCAACTTCAAAGCACAGAATGCGCTGTTCCACCTTGTGATGTCATGTGGTGGTTGTTTTTAAGTTAACAGCTCCTTTTTACCTTTAGGAAAGTAATTTTAGTGTGTTGGTTGCTACCTTGGCCAGGTTTCTCCCGAACAAGAGGTTCTGAATCTCAGTGGTACCTCCTGGTATATATATATATATATGCAAAATTGACCTGTGAGCTCTTCAAAAACAGACCTAGAGTTGTGTTTTGTTTCATTCACACATGTAATAAGCTGTCTGCATCTTCAAGACACTAAAGTTCTGTTTCACCTTGTGATGTCATGAAGCTGTGGTTTTCAAGTTAACAGCTACATTTTAGCTTTAGTTTAGTAGAGATTCTAGTGCAGGTGTAAAAATACAGTGGAGCACCTCCTGTATTACCACATGTGGTGCTTTTAATGAGGAAAAAACATTATAGATATTACAGAAAATAGTGTAATATAGGCCCTTTAAAGGCCTTTTTCCCTCTCAGTCACACCTATTTAGAATTTATTATTACCATTTATATTTTTTCTCATTGTTATTATTTTATATTGTGATGTCTGAGCTACTGTGTCCAAATAATTGTGGATTAACCTGTGGATCAATAAAGTTTGTCTAAGTCTATTTTACTAGTAGATACTTTGGCGACACCTCAAATTATAGTTTTTTATAGTCTATAAACATGTAGCGCAGTAGTCCTAAAATACTTTATAGAAGTTGACATTCTAATTCAAGCTTCCTGGTTTGATTTGAATTTCATTTTTAGAAACCTTTGAGGCCCACCTGAGAATCCAAGAGTCCTGACAATAGACTGTATGGTCCCGACCCCTACAAAAAAAAAACTGGGGTCATTTATTCACCATCTGAAAGGTTACATTGTGTTTGTAGTCCCGAAATGCCAAGCAGGAATATGAAGATAGGCCTGTGTGTGCTTATTATGATTAAAAGGGTTCTTATTGCTACTACCAGAAGTGAGAATAGAGAAAATGCACTGCAAGGTCTTATTTCTCAAGGAAAAAATGTTGTGTCTGAAACTGCAGTGTTTTATTTAAGATTGTTTCAGATTATGTTTCCATTTAAAGCACCCTTTCAAAATAAAGTCCATTAAGAGTCCATGGTGCTTTGTTAAATGTTTGATCATCTTTTGACTACTTCACGAGGCTACTTTATTCTTATTATGACATTATTTTAGAAATGTCAAAACAGGAAAGTTACATAATGCACCTTTAAATGTTTCTTCAACACAAGGAATTAGATGAAGTAAGTAACACAAGTTGTAGCCTAAATATAACAATATGGTAAGAATAAAATCAGAATCCCTGAAAATCTTAACACAAAAATGCATTATTCACAGACACATCTATCCTTACAGAGAGTTTTTTATCCTTTAGCAGAAGATGTCAGATCTAAAATCGTTTGTTTAGACCAGTGGTTAGACTTCACTTAGACTAAGACAGACTTTATTGATCCACAAGGAAATGAGTTGGACACAGTAGCTCACAATATTTTACAATAACAAGAGTAAAAAAAAATATTACTTAAAAAAATAGTAATAATACTTTTTAAAAATATCAAGCGACTGCTGTCAACAGACCTTTTTCACAATGTCTGGAAGTGCTCCGGTCTATGGCAAACTGTCTGTGGCATGGATCTATTAAAATAACTGTGGTCTGAAATGTCTCACGCACTCTCCACCAGCCCAACAAATCTACCCATACTTTTTTATATTGCAGTATTAAATATGGAATTGTATTACTAAGAACATTTTACTCAGTTCATTCTTTCTTTTAAATCTGAAACCATTTTGAGTAGCTATACCCCCTGGCAAGTGCTCGCTACCCCCAGGTCCTCAGATGAATGTGATTTGGAAACACTGGTTTAGATCAACACGCAAGCCTAATATCCTGTGTCAATCTATCTATTCACCAGTCTCTTGTTTGCTTTATTTTTGGCACAACTCCAGCTTGGATTTCATAAGCGTCCCCTGTTGCCTGGTAGCGAGAAAGGTTGAGCCAATCTTATTTTGAAATCCCACTGGAAGTACTTTTGTTTGCATAGTTTATAGCTTGACAGGAGATATCAGCTACTGAAACCTATTATTCAAACAGAGCTCGGATAAGGGAGCTGCATGTTATAATGAACGTACTTTGACACAAGGTGCGCGGGGTGATCTCGTGCGTAAACAAACTTGAATAGACAGTGCCAGCGTGAGCGGGGAATTGCGCATGCGTTGTAATCCTACTTCGAGCCTGCTTGAGGTATGTTGACTGGCTGCTTAAAAGACCAGGCAGCAGCTGCAGTGAGGGGCGCAGTGAAAGTGGAATATGCGTAAAGAAAAGTAGACACTGAAGCGGACACTGGTTGGCGGACGATATGGCATTTGCGTCTTTTGCGCGTGTTTAGCGGCGTCTCCAAAACGGCACGCACTCCTTGCCTGCTGTTTTTTTTTACACGCTCTCCCGCAGCAAGCTCCACGTACTGAGGAGATGATCTATTTCTGTGATGGCGAAGGGTCTGTTTCCACGGGCCTGGGTGAAAAAGTCATTCTACTTCCAGGTAATGCTACTTATTTCTCTTGCGTATGAATCAAACTATTGTCGTTTCGCCGCAATGTGTATCTGTAAGCAGAACCTGTGTGCAATAACGCGGTTACGACCCATCAGACTGACAGCTGACAGTGCACATCCTCTCAGACTACAGGCTGCTGAGGAGGAGGCGAGTGTGTTGAAATAACTTGAAGAATGCGCCATGGGTCAATGATTAGTGCTTTAAAGGGGCACTGTGTAACTTTGGGTTTGTTACCTGCTCGTCTCCATGGAGATTTTATTGGTTTATGTGTATATTCTATCACTAATCTTTTATTTACACAAAAATACCATGCGTTCTTACTGTGAGTAGGGTCGCCTCTCCATAGATCTGACCTGTGAATTGGCCTGTTGGTGTCACCTGCTTGTTTGCATAGAAAAGTTAATGCTATACTCTGGAACATTCTATGTAGGCAAACCAAAGACAGGTAGCAGATACTTCAAGTGCACCTTTAAATATTTTTTGAGGAAGTCAAGCAGTTCTTTGAAAGGGAAAAAAACCTGTATGACTTGTATAGTTAACAGGCTGTAACTCTACTGAGACAAGCAGGTGACGCCATCAGGCCAATTTTCCAAGATTTTTTTAAAGCACTGAAAACACATATAAATGAATGAATGCAATTTGCAATTCAATGTCAAAAAATTTAAAATTCGAAGCCATAGACATGGAGATGCGACACTACTCACCAGAAAAGTACATAAAGTGTTATAACCCTATTCATAGTAGTGTAGTCACAATACTAAAATTTCAAACTCAATTTTGATAGGAACACATTATCATATTAAGTACTGATTCCAATATCACAATGATGATTTAAAACACTCTTTATTTAAACCATAGAATTTAATAGAACTGGGTTTTCAACATTGACTCATAATGCTTTCTTTTCTATTCCCATGTGGTCTTATATATGTGTAATCTCTCAGTGGTTCAGTAGGTTCCATAGTAGTTCATGGGTGTATACTAGTCTATGTGCTCTTATACTTGTCCTGATACAACTCAAGATCATTGTAAAGCTGTTCAGGAAAGCTTCATTTCAATCCTGTGAATGTGATTTTTTACTGTCAGTACTTGCTCAAGTGTATGTAGTTCCAATACTAGTTTTAGTATCTGATTACAGTACTTCTGATAACCCTACTCCCTGTGTATATTACATAATAGCTAGCCCATGATTAACTAATGCAATTATTTGTATTTTGCCTACTGAAAAGTCGTAACCAACTCTTTCATCAGTGTGGCGCCAGCTGTCGTTTAGTTAGACATATAAACATGTACATTTCAACATGTACTGTAGTGTGTTGAGTATACAGCCTGTTTGCATGCTTCAAAGTCAACTCCATTGTCTATTAAGCCCCCGGGATGGTCTGGCCCTGCTCCATTTAACATGAAGAGAGGGCTTACGTTACTATTGTTCATTGGACAGACTCTATCAACACATATGGTCCCCTTTCTGTGAAACAGCTTCAGTTTTTTAGTTTTTTGTTTGGTTGATTTGAGTTTTTGGACTGATATTGCAATTTTGAATTCTATATTAGTTTTATAGTTTTGTAATTATTAAAGGGCTCATTTTACACTATTTTTTGATCTACACTATAATGTTTTCTCATCAAAAACATGCTACTACATACTTGTATTTCATTCACATATTTTTTACAAAGAAATCCTGCATATTTAGTAGTAGAGTTCTTTGGTCAAACTGAAAGCACTATGTTCCAGTTTGTGATGTCATGTGGTAATACAAGAAGTGCTCAGCTGTGTTTTAAAACTCCTTACACATA